CATTCCTTCAGGAAGAGACTCCAGCTGGCAGCCATGTTCCCAGCTCCTCCCAGCTCCGGGAGTCACCTTGGGGGTTACAGAATGCAGTCACCGCCAGAGTGAGGCAGAGCGTCCTGGGGTGAGGAGGGAGGCTGTCAGAACCACCTGCAGGTCTTTCTTCAACTGGGCAATCACCCGACAGTCCCACCAACTATAGGACCAAAGGTCCCATGAACACCCGTTGTGTTTCATGAGTCTAAGTTCCTGTCACCTGCCTTTGAAAGAAATCCACATGACTGCAGAACCACTCCTAGCTCGTCATTGCTGAACATCCCTCCACTTTTCTTTTGGATTGCTGCGGTTCCTTTGAAATTTAATTTCTTTTCATAGTTTTTATACTTGTACAAATCTTCATGCCCGTCCTTTGAAAATTTGCTCTTATAATAACATGAGCATTTTCCGTATTTACCCAATCTTCACGGGAATGTCATTTTTATAAATTCTTTTCAGAGGATTTTTTAACACTTATCATCACCCAACTAGTGTTTTATTCGTTTATTCATTTTGTGTTTTTATGTTTGTTTTGCAAATGTAAGTAACCTGGCCACTAACATCTTTGGCCATAATCCTTGTTCTATATTATTCCTCTCAGGCTAGGCTTCCAGCAGTGAAGTCATTGCGTCAAAGGAAACAAATAGTTTTAAAAGCTGAAGCCACAGACTGGCAAACTGATTTACAAAAGGGCTGTGCCAGTTGCATGCCCACCAGCTGGCCCATTTCCCAACAGCCTTGCCCAATAGCATTCCTCCTGGGCTGTGCTCACTCTATAGAGAACTACCATGTCTTTGCCATGGTTTTGATTTGCATTCATTTAACTATTGAGGCCGAACATTTCTCAGTAAGTCTATTAACCAAATTGGTTTCCTCTTCGGTGACCTGTCTGCATGCTTCGTTCATTTCGCCTGGAGGGTCTCCGTGTTTCTCTTAGCAATTCCTGGAGTACTTTGCTACATTTCCTGTAAATAATTTTCCTATGGCTGGCCTTTATATTTTGTAACCAATTTTCCTTCCCCTTCCAGAGTTGATAAATGTCCACTTCTATTTTTTTTTTAAATAAAGGATTAACTTCTTTAAAACATTTTCAAGTTCTTGAATCCCTCTGGATTCCAATCCTCCTCACTTGATTGGCGGACAGGGTGAGGAATGGACCTGGCCTCCTGCCCACACTGCGCTCCTGGCCCTTCCTGGCTCAGCCTGGAGGCTGCAGACAGGAGGCCCGTGGTGTTGGGTTTAATCTGGGCAGCTGCTTCTCTAGCCACCGGACTACCTGGGTCCTCCGAGTCCAACTCTCTCTGGCATCCTGGCTTTCTGGCCACATTTTAACTTTTGTTGCTTGTTTGATTTCAAGACAGAGTTGCCCTCGGAAGAATTGGCTTTGGGGGGGAGAGGGCGGGTGGAGAGGCAGAGAAAACTGAGAAAGGTGCCTGAGAGGAAGCCGCTGGGGAGAGTCCGAACCACCTCTGAGAGGGGGTGGCTGGTCACCAGGTGCCTGGAGAACTGTGGTCCTGGACGTTTTGAGACACTTCCACAGCCTGTGGTCAGACATTTCTCCTCCACACCCGAAGCCGAGGACTGTGTGGCTCTCCTCACTGGTCCCATTACTGGAACAGTGTCGGGCATCAAATGTGCTCAAAAAACACTTCTGGCCCGGGCTGGTTTGGCTCAGTGGACAGAGCGTCCACCTGCGGACTCAAGGGTCCCAGGTTCGATTCCAGTCAAGGGCACGTACCCGGGTTGTGGGCTCGATCCCCAGTGGGGGGCGTGCAGGAGGCAGCCGATCAATGGTTCTCTCTCATCATGGATGTTTCTATCTCTCCCTCTCTCTCTAAAATCAATAAAAATGTATTTTAAAAAATACTTCTGGAAGGAACACATGAAGGAGCGAATGCGTCTGGGATCCTTCCTCCCACCGCTTGTCCAGACCGCCCACCCGG